TGCAAGAATAAGGAGCCGCAGAAAAAAGTACTCAAGGTATCCATTTACAGTAAAGGATCTTCAACATTCTTTAAATAGGAACCTGTTTCTCCAATGAAGAGATAGGTTCCAAAATACTAGTTTCTAAATTAACTGTTATATATAACACTTCATCTTCCTATAAGCTTTTTTAAAAATCAGTGCCTATTTTAGCTAGGAATTTCTGACAAATCCAGAAGTGGCACTGAGAAATGATTCTTAGTATAACGGTCACAGGTACTGCTTACATGTATGATTCTTCACCATAAACCAGAAGTATTGCAGAGTGCGAAGTCAACACAAGGTTGTCAGTGCACTAAAGGAAAAAAACAATGCGTGAAGAAAGAGTGTCCATGTCGCATAATGTATGAGTTTTGTAACAGCAGGTATGAATTCAATTACCTGCCTTTTTATTATCACTGCTTTATTTGTCAGGAATTGAATTCAGATCAGATTTAATTGCAGGAATTAAGTTTGGATTAGACTGAACTGCAGAATGTGATTTCGTTATAGAATTATATTTTAGCTGCAAGTGCAATGGTGACTGTACAAATGGGCCATCGAAATTTCATGTCCCTAAACATGTGCAAAGTTGCTTCCTAGAACATAAGAATGAGAGTAGTGGATTAATTCTTACACTAATCGGCGATGATTACATATATCGGGGTGATTTCTACCATGAAAGCCGAAGTGAACTTCATGTTGAAGAGCAACTCGTTGCTGCCATTTATGATCTCATTTCTAAATATAAGGTCCATTGCTTTTAATTTTCTCTTTATCGCTTGACTTAAAGCAAGGGAATTTCTTCGCCTTTATTTTATTCTTTGAGTTTACCTGACTTGAAAAAAAGATATAAAGCTGTTTATGAAAAAAAGACATAAAAAGAAGCTAATGCAACGTTGTAGGTGGATCTCTTCGAAGCAGTGATATACGTATCCAAGAGTCCATGTTTTCACCAGGACTGTGATCCTAAATGTGAGGTGGTGGATGAATGCAAGAGCAATAAAGCTTGCGCAAAGTTGCTGGGTTTATTACTGTCTAAAATCCGCAAGGAGCTTAGTAAAGTGGATGTTAAAATGACTGTCAAATTTTTATATCCACATTTGAACCGCGGTGATCTCTATACGAAGCAGGGTATTCTCTGCATGCTTCAGGCTGGCATAAAAGTTTGCTTTTGCGTTTTCAGACTTTTCCAAACTTTTCAAACTCGTTTTCGGACTTATTTATATTAGATTTTGTTTGTAATATTTTATATTATTTCTAAATTTTATTTGTATTAGCTCGACTTTCTTTTCGCTGTGATTGATTATCCGAATTTTAGTGAAATATTTCATGAGAATTTGGGATTTTCAATGCTCATCCATTTTACGCGAAATAAACTTCTCGGTCATGACGTTTAACATTTGAATTTTTTCGCTGTGACATAATTATATAGAAAAAAACAGAAAATCTTTTGTTGGTTTTTTTGGAACTGTTTACTTTTTTTGGTTAGCGACACTAATATTTAGGTCGAACCATTATTGCTCAAGGATTGGTCTGCAGTGATGGACTGGACTCCACACGCTGATCACAAAGGAGAATATCTGCAGGTACATATATGTATATCTTTTAAATTTCTTCCTTTACAGAGTTATCCAGATGCTGCTCAAGTAAATAGAAGCTTATAATAATTGGAATAATGCGTTTCATATTCAGTTATGGAACAGTCACAATCTTGATAAAGCAGTAGCGCAATCTCAGTCATTTATCAACGAGTGTAGGCGTGCGCTCGGTCTGTCAATGAAGTTTTGGGTTGCCGAAATACATGAAATCGTTAAAAACACTATCCTGCACTATTCGGAAATTCGAACAAAGTGTGGAGAACTGAACAATGCATTGAAACAAGTACGAATGACATTGCTTCACTGATTAAGATATTTTGGAAAGGGATAAAGGCATATTTTAAATTTCTCGATATCTCAAACGTTGTTGGGAATTTTGGAAATATTCATTCTGAAATTTAAATTTTTTCTAGAATTATCCGATATTTGTTCCTTTAATTTTTAGTTGGATCTGACAGCAACACCGCATAAAATTCGTTCAACGCCAAGCAAGCGCCGCAGCTTCATTGATATGCTCGAGTTACGTGACAAGCTATTACTAAGGCATTCGGATAAGCACAAGAATGGGAGCAATATGTCCGTTGCTAGGTTACAATTAATTACTTTAGTATTACAAATTAAATTTAAAAATGCTTTGTTCACTGGCTTTTCTGAGATGGGAGAACGAAAGTGTTCTGTTGATGTTGACAAGAACTAGAGCCAGACGAATATCTGCAGTATTCTCGAGTGAGACCATGTTTTCTGGACAGTATAGGAAATGGATGGTGTAATTTACTTTTTTAATTATGTGAATTTAAGTGATGATGCAAATGCGCAAGCAATGGTGGCATCGTTTTGTGGTCGGTCATTTGATGATGGTGAAACGAATGAAATCGCTCAACGAATTGGTCGTGCTACTGCCAACATTAACGTGGAAATTGAAACCTTATTGGAATTCTTAGCTCATAAAGGAGCTATCGGTTAATTATAACAGATATGTGAGGGGGAGACCTTTGCAAAATGATCCATTTTGGAGCAGCATACTAATTGTAATAAAAATGAAAATCAGATCAATATATTTCATATATTTTAAATTTTAAGCATAAAACTAAATAAAATTTTTTCTTTGGGGAAAAATGAATGGGATGAAATTGAAGATTTTTGTTCCGAAACCATTTGGGAAGCACAAATTTTCTCAGTGCTATTAGAATCAATGCAGTAAACTAAAATGTCATCTCAATTCTTTCTTAATTCGCTTTCATAAATCTCACTTAAGCAGGTATAATCTGTTACAGTTGTTTCCTCATATTTTGATACTCTTAAAATGTTGCAACATAAGTGATGCAGAAATGATTATCACAAAGCTGTTTTTATTAAGAAAATTACATGATAATCAGTCCAAGTTCATGGAATATTTCCGTCTTTTTCTACTTATTCATCTTTTTCAACCAATCATTCCCTGTTCTTGTGATTTCCTTTAATACATTATTTAGGTTCGTTATCAGTTTGCTTTTTGGCCCATCTGTTTTCATTAGTGTGTTAGAATATTGTGATGGCGATTTTAATCAATCATTGTTGAGATGATTTTTTTGAATAGCAAACCTCATCATATTCAGTTAAGTTCACCCATCTGTAAATTTCTTTTCTCAATTGATTATATCACTGAATCACAACAATGCTTTGCCTTTTGCATTATCCTTACTTAAAGCCTGTTAAGTTGTATAGTGCCACAAAATAATTTATTTAATTCCCTATTTCACGTGATTGTGACTAGAGATCTAAAACAGTAATATTCAACTAACGGTAGATGTTTCATTTGAATTAGAACTTTATAACATCCCGATTTGATTTTAACCTAGATATCCCCTACTGTGTGAATTTGGTTCTCGTTTTTAGGAATTTTTCTGGGATGTGAAAGTTAATAGCTAATCTTTTGAACTAATAATGAACGAAAACGGATGGCTAGCTGCTGTGAGATAATTAATGTCCAATTTGCCTTTCAAAGGACTTCTTTTTTTGCACAAGCTCAGTTTAAATGTTAGCACAAATATTTGTAAAAGTGCTGTGTTGCTGACAAGTTTGATATGCATATGCAATTTCTGTTAAAGCGCAATTCATAGTTTATTGAATAGAGGGAGAGTAGTTTTTTATGCTTTAACGAATATTAATAATAAACTGTCCTAATTTCTTTCAGATTGAGTCTTTATTTGATTCCGTCTTCATTAGGTAGGAGGCGTACATCAACACACTGACACATTTATATTTATGGTTTAAAAAATGGTTAATGTTGTTATTTGAAAAATGTTCATTCACTAGTAGAGTGAATTTCAGTAGTAACAGTATTTCTTTTTCTAAGAGCAAATGTTACCAAGCAATTTAATTTATTTCATCTGCGGTTCTCCTGCAAAATGAAGTACTTGTTTATATGGAATACAAATGGTGGTGGGACACTGCTACAAAAGATTACCAGCATTATCATCGACATCTGGTCTATATTCACTTTCATTTCCGGAGTTCTCTACAGTTTGCAGAATTTCTTCATTTGTTAATGGATAATATGAGATAAACTTCCGAAATAATTATCGATTATTCGAAAACCTTCTGACTGCTTTTACTTTCAATAGTACTGTAACCATCATAGTGATTTATTATAATGCATTTCAGTTTACATTCTTTGTTGTATCATATTTACCATTTGGTTTATCATAGAATTATCGTACAATTCCGTCTGAGTTACCTAAAAACACTATTGGCTTGCAATCTTTAATATACAAAATATTAGACGAATACAATGCATACATGCAAAATGAGATGTAAAGATATATTTCCCATTAAATATGAATCGTTAGGGTGATAAGTTTATTGACCACTGTTTTATACAAATTATAATGGTTCAGTGCTCATTTGTTTTTTCCATATTTTGGTATATAACGATAGCATCAAATGCAGCTCAGTAAAAAGTCTACACAATGAGCGCAAAATCTACCAGTCAAAAATTAGCCTGAATTAAAATGTTGATAACGATTATAAAGGACAGCTGGAGAGTGGGAAATTGCGAGAACCCCTTTAACTATTTTCATTATCATATGATAACATTATGAATACAATGTCGATAATTGTTATTTTATAGTTTGGCTATTTGATAGTTTCCAAATCAGCTCCTTGCTTTATTCTGTATAGCCTTCCCAAAATGATCGATGAAAGAACTATCTTTTTATTTGAATTGTATTTTTGCAAATATTTTTCGAAACCATATTTAAATTCTAAGGAAACAATAAAAATGATTACAATTATTATGTAGGACATTCCTATGCCTTCTTTTTTTCTTTTAGGACGAAAATGACAGAGGAAGCTGAGCATGTTTCAATCAGGACGAAGCTATAGATACCATAAAAAAGCATGCCTGATGAAGTTATGCTACCTTCTTGTCTTCCAAGAAAGCTGTAAACATCTCTTTTGCAAGCTGAAGCAATTAAATAGTTAATGAATAAACAAGTTTAGATAAAGGTAGCTGAACTTTTTTTTTGAAATGAATGTTGAAATAGGAAAAATGTCGGTAATATATTCCAACAAAAAAGGTCATTTAATCCTAACGAAGCTCCTTTTTGCTTACATAAGGAACATTCGTATTACACTACTAGCAAATGAATAGTAGAATTATTCATCTTAAATGAGAAATAAAGATATATTCACAATAAGAATGGTGGATGAGTTATGGAAGATTTATTCTCATAAATTACTTCTAAATTGTGAAAATTTCTCGTCCTGTTCTCATCATTAATTACTCACTCATCCTAACTTCCAGCTTTTTAAATTATTTGATGTTCTACAAATCATTTCGTTAAAATCAATAATAAGTAATGGAGCGCCCTCATCGAATATGCTACCTTGTATAATCTGATTATAATTATAAGCAGTTCGACCAATAATAAATCAACAGCTGATCACTGTCATCTATTACTTCGCAGTGTTTGTCAATAGAAGTCTGCCTGCACCATTTATCTACCAAAAGTTATGATTCAAGCTATTCGCTGCTTCCTTTGCTTACCCAATATAATTGCCTAGGTGTTTTTGAAATAATTATTTGAAATAAAATAGAAAAAAAAAACTTATTTAATACTAGTAAGGTTACATTTCTGAACATATTCACGACTACTTTTATTCATTTATTTATTCAGTGAATTATTTGGTTCACTACTATCCAGTATTTGTTTGGTGATATCATTATGTTTTGTCATGAAACATAGTGCATAATACAATTTAGTGTTGTAGTTTGCGAATAGTTGAATGCGTAAAACTTTGCAAAAAATTTATTCAGTGAACAAATTAGCTTTAAATTTCCTGTTGTGATAGTTTTTTTTTGGTGTGCAACAAGAGAATACCTATTAAAAGTTGATGTTGTTGCCGCCATAAATTATTGTCCGTTAGAGTATTATCAACTGTGAATATGAGCAATAAGAAAGGAACTTCGTTGCAGTCTTTATAATTGAATAACTATTCATATACATAGTGAGTAGAAAAAATTATAAACTTAACAGTTTCAGTCGCATTATAAAGTTTCGGAAGAAAGAACTTATTTGAATTTTTTTAAAAGCTGAGGAAAAAAGATGAGTTTTAAGTACTTAGTCACTGTTCTAGATTGATTTATTTTCAATTCCTCTTTTAACCAAGATTTTAATTACATCAAATAAGTGATAACATTGTCAGTAATTGTAATGATCGACCACATTTATTACAGCACTTCAATAGAAGGATACAGAAGAGGGTGACACACGACAAAATGGTAGATAGATAGACAAATAGATGTACGTTGCAGTAGAGAATGGTTTTCAAGTATACGCGATTTGCTGAAAAGCGTTAATCGCATTGCGTCTTTTACTATAATAAATGCCGTCGCAGATATCACCACCACAACGTTATCACGAAAATAAATTTGTGAATTTGTGTACGTTTATATATGTGAAGGTGAATGCAGGTGCTGTGTCTAAGAGCCATATGGATGAGTATCCATCCATCTGTGGTATGTGTGTGTATTTGTGGGTGTTGTGGGTGTATATGTATGTGTTCCTGTTTAGTGTCTGTGCGTTAGGTGTACTGGTCTTAAAAAGGAATTTCGTCCAATTCTGTATTCTTACTTCTTTGCATTCTATTACATTTCAATTTATTGTTATCAAATTCATGTTAAAAATAAGCATCAGTTCATACTGTTTAGAAAGAGTTATTATGTTATAGATGGATGAATAACAGATTAATTGGTGCGGTTTATAATGATGTTTTTACTTTGAATCAGGTGCTGCACTTACTATCCGGTGCATTGCGTTAGAAACTTTTGAAAAGATGATATCTTTCGGCCTTTGAAACAACTTTTAACTGTTGCTTACGTGAGAGAAATTTTCATCCCTTGAATTTTGGTTGAAAGAAAATGGAAGTATTCATTATATCCAGCCACTGGCTGCTGAAGAACATTCTAAAAACAATAGGATTTTTTAACTGAATTAATTAAAACATTTACAACTTCGCTTACAATTATCCTATAAATTCGAATTCAAACGGGCAAAAAATAGTGAGGATAATTCGATAGAATAATTTTGAGGTTTTTAAAATCCTGTGAAGCTCAAGATTCTTCAATAAAATGATTTTTTTGACTGCAGGGCAAAGGACATCATCATCACCAAGGATGATTTTATACTTGTTGTTTGCGGGTGATGCATGCATGTTGGAAAAAGAGAATTGATTATAAGGTGTGGTGTTGAATGCCATCATTACGAGAGGAATGCGCGAAAAAGGAATGTCTCCGTTGATTTTAAAACAAAAACAGGTTTCAGCAATCACTGGTTGCCTCGCTCACCCTTCTCCCAAGATTCCATCAGAATTACCCTATAGTAGTCAAGAAACGCTCACATACCTGAAAAATCGACTCAAGCAAATACAAGCACGCGTCAGAAATACATCACGCTGCGCGAAAATCACGAGTTATTTGTGACAGCAATTAAATACTCGTGTCTTTTCTCGACCTTTCTCCTTATCTCCTTTCATAATGGACCATTTTTGAATGCATTGTGCTAAACAAACGAAATCCTCAATTAATGTAATTATTTTAACTATTGATCTCATTTAATCTTCCATTACACATCCGATGGATACATCCTGCTAGTTGGTTAAGCCTGGTGAACTAGTAGGATGTATCCATCAGATGTAACTGATTCATTGAGATGTGAAAAAAGTTCCTTAACAATGATTCTTCTAGCTTTTCGTTACCTACATTGCTTTTAGTCTTTTGTTGTTTGGAAGCCAGTTTGTTACAAATCAGTAAGAGTAATTTCGTTCAACAAGTATTATTATATCGTCTTTTCGATAAATTAGATTATCAAACACCATTCGAAATTATTGATTTTCTTGACTATTTCCATAACTTTTACACAGTTTCTATGAATTTCTCGGCTTCCATTTATTTACTCTAATGAATCTATTTCATTAGTCCATTCCCTTTCGCATTTCTATGAATAAACAAAGGCAATCACTATTCCTTTCATACTGTGCTATTTTGCGTCTAAGAATATCCGAAAGAAAAAAAATCGCGGACTGATTTTAAATGTGCTGTCCATTATGCAGTTCGCAGAATATCATTACTGCCTCTATCATTTTTTGCTTTCATTATTAATGGTGAGCGCACAAATAGCTATTATTGAAAAGCTTGTACGACTATGGTTGTGTACATCTCATCTTATGACAGATGTTTTTGAGTGTTTTCACTTTCTCATAAGAAATCTCACTATAAAAGAGACAAGTTAATACTATTTACTGATATTCGCTCTGTAGACCGAAGCAATAATGAAGATAGAAAGCCGATATCATAGTATCATATTCTTCTCTAGTAGTGATTTGGTAACAAGTCAAGTAGACGCGTAAAAGTATAATGAAAGGCATTAGTCAATCTCTTAGATGAAAGAATCTTTTTTATTTTATGTTTTAAAATATACAATAATAAAGCATATTACTATTGACATTTATGAAGTGTAAAGAATTGTTGTACAGAAACAATTAAATTCTTCATGAATCACAGAAAAGATATGACGAAAAAAAAAAAAAAAAACTGTAAAAAAAAGTATACGAAAAAAAAAAGTGTTTCACAGTTTTTTGCTTAAATATTATATGCTCAAGAAATGATATCTTTTCCATAATTGCTACATGTAAGCATTTTGTTCTTTGATTCTTTATTATCAATAGATTGTTTTTGAATGTCACTCATCGAAATTAATATGATTGCTGGAGTTCCAATAGTCTCTGATTTCTCTATATGTATACTATTATATGATGATATTGAGGTCTTTGAATTCAATGAGGGAACAACTTCAGTCTTTAGAAAGAAAGTTCATTACAAAAGTGTTTTCAAGCTAAATGTTAAAATTAGCAATGGAAATGTTCATAACCTATTCAATCAAAAATTGCTAAAGAGCATTTTTAATATCATTTTCATATCGAGGCATATCAAATCAAATAGTTTTAATCATGTTTCACTTCTGTCTGCTACCACTTTTTTACGATTTTCACTTTTTTAACAAAATATTACAAACAGCGTTCCAAAAATTGTTGAATGATAATAAAAATTTTTCAGCAATCGCAATTTATTTTCCAAACGGAAACTTTACGTTTTCACCAAAAAACAAAACTTATTGATTACAAACGACGATGCCTCCTTATGTCAGTTCGAACAACTGATAATAATGTATCCTGCGACATTTCTGATAACAATATTAGTAGCACATTTGAATGCTATTGTGCCTACACATAATAGTGATAAAGGATTACGACCTTGGCTGCAAAGTAAGTCTGCTATCTATTTTCATAATCAACCTAACAAAAACTATTGTGTTATACCTAATATATTATTAGTTCATGAAGATAGGGCAGTGGTTAAGAAGATCTCTTATTGTTATCAAGAAATGAGTAAGTTTATAATCTGCCTCGTTCATCTTAAATTTACTGTCATGGAACAAAAACTCGCTATGACACTTCAGATTTCCTTATTTTCTTAAAATTACTAATAGAATCATTTTAGAATGATTTTTTAGATTTGTTAGCAAATTCCTTTTTTCAAACCGTATGTTACATACTCAAAATTCTAACATTAGTGAGTGAGAGGATGAATAGCGAAAAAATGCAACTTTGAAATTGCAACTTTTCTTAGAATTTTGAATTTTTTTCATTCTGCAAAAAAGTAATAAGTAAGTGTTGCCTGTTTTATTTGCTATCTGATACTTACAAACTGTACATTCATCATCCCTTATAGTTCAAATGTCTATTGAGAAAACATGATAAGTTTTGGAAGAATTGTAACTCAAACCATATTTTTGTTTGAAGACAATCAGGAAATAACACCGTATGTTTCCAAATACTTCATTCACTACTAAGAAGCCATAAACTGCCAGGGATGAAGTGATGTGGTTACTGGCATCTTTTTCTGATATAGTCATTAATTGTAGAGGTTTTAATGCTGCTAGGTAAAAGGAAATTCACCTTCAAATAAAAATTGACGTATAATTTGTCGTAATCTTCGTTTAGCCGGTCCACCTCGATTCAAGCAAAATCAAAGAGTTGTTCATGAGGTATTCCTGAACGACAAAGCAATATTCAAGTGTACTGCATTAGCAAGACCGGCTCCAAAGGTTTATTTCCCACTAATCATCCTCAAAATTTGTAACTGACCATCCACTTTAATTTCACAAATGTCTCAGATCAGTTAAGCTAATTAGACTATTCTATTAGCCAACAACCTCAGTCAACAACTGTCTGATTAGCAGATGGCTCGCTAATTTAGAATGTAAGGCTGTGATTTAGGTTGCTCACGCACAAGTAGGGAAACGCCACAAAAAATAAACGAATATTCCTAATGACGCGAGCATCATTAATTGAAGTTTATTTATGATGTTCTTCTGGTGAATTTCTGATTTCAGATCCACTGGTTTAGAAATGGAGAATTTCTGGACCACACAACTTACGCAAATAATGAACGCCTTCGTGAAAATAAAAAACATTTTTCCTTGGAAATTAGAAGGGTGGAAGTTAGCGATCAGGTTAAACTTCAGATAGATTCCGTTTTATTTCATTCTCATCACATTCTTTGCAAATCATTTGTATATTTGCAGGGCTCGTGGGCGTGCAAAGTATGGAATCAAGCCGGCTCTATATTTCGTAATTTTACTCTAGAAATTATTGGTAAGCATGCGTGCAGCGTGTACAGCGGTTTTAACAGAAGAAGTAAAATGATTGATAGATCAGTAAACTGCATGAAATAACTTTTCCTCTCATTGGAAAAGTTTCCGTGATGTTCGACTCATACTTCGAAATGAGGGGCGAGAAATTTTGAAAATCATGTCAAGGAAGTGGGCATATCCTTGTGCGTCATCAATATGAGTTGTAGAGTTGAATTTTTGAAACTGCATGTTAGTGAGCTGCAGAAGTGCTTCAATGCATGCAAAACTTGAAGTTTTATTCAAAATTGTCGAAGTTGAAAAAGGAGTAACCGCTAATAAATCCATAATATTTTTTGCTCCTATTGCATGAGTTTGATGGATGTTGTGGCACGTGTTTGATATTGTTGCAGATTTCTGTGATTACTTCCTCATGCATGAATTCCCGGCTCAACACGTTCCGGAAAAGTGCATTTGCTTGTGGTACCTTACGGGCGAGTACCGAAAAGCAAATGTGAATTGGACTAAGGTTAACGATGAACGTTGTGAAGGTTTCAAAAAATATGCATCAAAAATTCGAAAACCATTAGGGAAGAAAATATGTGAGAATGGTGCGTGTGGGAATGAGTTACCGGGAGTGGACACGCATGAAATTTTGCAAGGAATTGGATTGCATGATTCAATGCCGAGTGATTTAATGCATGATCAGCAACAGCAACTCAGTGGCTTGCAGGCGACAGCTCTTTTGTCCGGTAAGCATGCTTCTTTGAACACTATTTAAAAATTATTCACTTTTTATCTAAATTTTCAGATCCAGTAAAATTACTCGACTGGCTAGTGGCAAATAATTGGGTGGATGTGAGTCATTTGTTAACAAACCTGTTAACACGGCAAAAAATTACCGCTATTAAATCAGCACTGAGTGACTGGAGTACTTTAGATAATGCAGAGAAACGCCTTCGAGCACGAACAGTACTCCAACAAGAAATTCCAGACATCAGTACAAGTATCACAGCTAATGGTATTCAAGATGTTGATGAAGAAAGTAAGGATGTTGATATCTTAATCAGCAACAATGAAAGCTTCTCCAGTGAAACTGACGAGATCCCGGAAAAGTCATCCTTAGACTTCTTAATGCATGACCAACCACGTCCGGATCAATCTGGTGAACCACATCTTCCTGATATTGCACCAAGAAGGATACATACTCCGGTCATAACAACTACTACTGCAACAATTGCAACAAGAATGGCTTTCCTGCATACAACGAATTCAGTGACAGCACGCTCTACTACCCGACGCATTTTCCCTCTCCAAAAAGGTCCCATCTAAATAATTAATTTTTTGTTCGAAATGAATGAGCAGTGTGAACAGCATATTTATCTGCTTCGTTCTCCCACAATTGACTTTTACAATTTGATATATTTTCTTCTGGTTTAATTAGAAACAGATCTCTTTCACTGCTAGTTCTTAAAATGCTTCACCACTTCTTGATTTTACTGCGTTAATCCTACCATTTAGATTGACATTTTTTAAATGGCAAGCGAAATGGCATTTTGGCCTTTTGCCCTTTAATTATACTTCATGAATATACAATAAGGTTTTAGTGTCGCCTTACTTCAAAGTACGTGATGAAGATGCTGACACGTCGGTGATAACACCTTCTGGAAGGACAATTAAATTACAGTGCAAAGCTGGGGGACAACCAGAACCCCAGGTGATGATACATTTTTCTATGATTCGAAAAATTTTCTAGGTTTTTCATAGTCATTGTAATTTGCATGTGAGGAAATTTCGATTTAGGTTATTTGGTTCAATAATAACAAGAAGGTAATTACCACGGAAGTTCGAAGGCCAGTAGGGACTGAGTTCCGTTTACGAAAGAACACTTTGGAGATAGAAGATGTTGCAGAATCAGATTCAGGTGACTATACGTGTGAGGTAAGTTACTGATTCTTTTAATGTCATTTAAGTAGGTATAATTTAGGTAGATATATAATAATTATATATTTTAGATAGGTATAATTATATTGCATATTGAAAATATTCAAGTAGCTGGAATGTCCAGTTCATTTATAAATCATCTTTCTGCTAATGTTTAGTTTGATTTCGATTTCATAATTTTAGAATTCTGTTTCTTTCTGATTTTTTTCTAGAAAAAGCGATGTGTTTTTAACTCGGTTGTCTTTTTGAGAACACTAAAAAGCAACTGAATGTTAATACAGTTAATGAAAATTCTTTTCGCTCAGAGCTTTTAAAAATATTACGGTAGTGTATCCTGCGTGTTTCTGAAATAGATCAGATTTTCAACTCCACAGTGAATTTCCAGAAAGTGATTTTCTTCTAAACGTATTCCTATTCAGTTTTTGTGAGAATTTGATTGAAAAAGTGATATATATATATATATATATATATATATATTGTTATTTGCTGTTAATGTAGGCATTCAATTCGGCGGGATCAGTAACACGAACTTTCAAATTGAGGGTAGTTGATCGGATGCGTTCAAAACCAATCATAGTACCAAATATTCTTGTAAATCAAACTGCTGATGCTAACAGCACCGTTAATTTTACTTGCAAGGTGAGTAAAGATTTCTTTTTCTTCTGATAAATGTTTTAATGTGAAAATAAAAATTAATAACCACATTTCGACTAAAAGCAAAATCTTATGAGAAAAATCGAAAGTCATTTCTTTACGGTCATTTTTGAATTCCAAAGTGTGTTCTAGAAATTGTTTTGACTTGCAGGTGATATCAGATCTGACACCACATATCGTTTGGATGCGCATTGAAATGACCAATGACTCCATTTATTACTGGAATGAAACAGACCGTAAATACATTTTTCGATACACAGATATGCAGTCGGTGGAGGTTGTTTTATAATGTCTTGTGAAAACTTAAATAATACTTTTGCGTTTTTTCACACTTTCACCTTCCTAAGTAAAGTCCTGGTAAAGGCACACATTGCTTTGTTTCGAATTTTAATTTAATTTAATTTTCTATTTCTTTTTCCTGCTTTATGTTTCTCTCTTCCAAATCTCCTTTCCCGCTGTGCTTCTTCAGAATGCAATTGTGACGAAAACATCGCAAGATTCATCAACATTGACAATAGTGAATGTTACAGTAGCCGATCAAGGGATGTATGCATGTGTATCAGGCAATCACCTTGGCCATGTAAGTCTCTTCCCACAAATGAATTAAAAGACAAGACAAAATGTAAGATAAGAAAAACGATATAGTTCGGTGGTGAACCAATATTTGTTCATATTTAAGTGAAAATCGATTTAAGGCGATAGCAAATGCAACATTAACAGTTAATGAGTTCCATGCAATGACACTTGCAACAGGAAATCCGGATACGAAATGGTCTCGTTCTTCTGTTGTGGCTGTCGTATTCCTCCTTATTCTACTCATTTTCACATTGTCTACTACTCTATTTTACATATTTTGCATTCGAAAACGCTCTAAAGCGCAAATAGCTGAAATGGAGCAATTTATCGGCCCAGTTAAAAAACGGGTGATTTTCTTTTTCTTTTTTTTTTTCATCGTTCTCTTTTATTCTTTATTTTTTATTTAGCTCTTACTGAAAACTTCTCTGCTTTCAACTTAATAAATGAGATGGTTCTAGAATGGATCCAATTTCTTCAGATCAGTTTTATTTTCCATAAGATGATGAACTGGAGAATTTTCAGGTTATTGTTACAAAAGGGCCAGTTGATCCAGAAAACGACGGTTGGTCTGACATGCCATCGACTTACCAAATTCATGTAGAACCAATCGCAACATCTGGAACCAGGAGACCACGACTTTCGAGCGACCTAACATTTCTGTCGGATTATGAAATTCCACCTGACCCTGCTTGGGAAGTCGAAAGATCTAGGTCATAATTTAGGAAAAGATTTTTTTAGTCTGATATTCCTCCATCTAAATTTTGAATCGTCGTTTTAGAAATCGCATTTTTTAAGATTGCATTTTGTGGAGATGTTGGGTGAAGGAGCATTCGGAGAAGTTTGGAAAGCAATACTAAGAATGTCAGTAGTGCGAACAACCACAAATCAAGGAAATACGCGAGAGGAAGAGGTTACCGATGTTTTTGTACTTGAGAATCCTAAATTTTGTTTGTATGGACGAAAGTCTATGGATGATGTGCATTGAAAGTAACTTAAAGTTGTAGGTAGCCGTCAAAAAACTGAAAGCATCTGCTCATGAGAAAGAATTAATTGATTTGGTCAGTGAAATGGAAACGTTTAAAATAATTGGTCATCACGAGAATTTGCTTCGATTGATTGGATGCTGCACCGGTACTGGTCCGTTATATGTCATTGTGGAGTTGTGCAAGCACGGGAATTTAAGGTGAATTAGTTTTGTTACATAATTGCTGCCAATTGGTGATTGTTTAGAATTGCTGGTAGTTCATGACTGACATTTTACATTTTTGTAATTGTCATTTATCATTTATATATTATTAATTATTATTATTTATTTATTATCATTACCATTATTACTATTATTATTATTAATCAATTAGATTATTCAGAGATTTTCTGAGAGCTCATCGTCCTCGCGATGCAGATAGTGGTTCACAGGTTCCCGAAGCTACAAATTTTGCCTCCGGTGTTGGCGGCAGCAGTGATCATTACTTAGAACCGAGAAAGTTGCAAAGAAAATTAACCATTGCATCAACACACGATCAGCCAATGCTTATCAAGCATTTGACACAACGACATCTTGTACAGTTTGCCTGGCAAGTGGCGAAAGGAATGGAGTTCATGGCCAGTAGAAAGGTTTTATTGTTTTGCCTTTTGCAAAACTCATTGACTAGTCAAATCATTTTAAACAATTCATAATTCATTTTTTCTTTGTTTAATTTAGAAAAACCGTATATTTACCATGCCAATGAGGAATCGCTTACAGATAATTCATCGTGATTTGGCTGCACGAAACGTTCTGGTCGCGGACGGTTTTGTAATGAAGATATCTGACTTTGGTCTATCCCGGGATGTCCATTACAATGATTATTATCGAAAGAAGGGGAATGGTCGATTACCGATAAAATGGATGGCATTAGAAGCACTGGATTCTCATGTGTATACAATCTACAGTGATGTGTATTGTTTCTCTATTCGGCTCTTATATCAATCAGTTCTATCAATTATCAGTTATTGATTCAATTCATGAAAGAGCAGGAGAAATTAATATTACATGTTTTTTTTTTTTTTTCCAGCTGGTCATTTGGAATATTACTTTGGGAAATAATGACCCTCGGTGGTACACCTTATCCGTCGATTGCAATGCAACAGCTGTATTCATGTCTGAAAGAGGGATATCGAATGGAAGCACCGGATAATTGCCCTGAGGAGGTTTATGATGTTATGGTTGCATGTTGGCAGGTATTTTTCACACGCTAATCATATTTATGATTTGTTATTACGATTGACTGTGTTTATCTAATGTTATTATTGGGGTGAATATTTTAGGAAAAACCAGAAAATCGTCCAAGTTTCGACACTTTGGTTGATTATTTTGACTGGATGCTTACTCAATCAGCTCGTGATCACGAGGTTACCGAAATTATAACTTGAAATTTTCTCTTCACATGAACCTCTATTATTGTATGTAATTCAAGCTATCTCTACAGAATTATTTGGAAGTACAGTCGATAACGAGTGATGGAAGTGAAGAAGTGAAAAATATCGCACCACCGCCACCTCTACCATTACGTGCCACAGAGAGTCCATCAAGGCACAGGAAAGCACGACCACTATCAGAACCTGTTATAAGTCCGAGTGAAGTAAATTTTAAACACTTACACTTTTCTTGAACTGAAATCATAGGATCCGAGAATCATTCAAGTTCCACCACCTGATTGTTTTCATTTAGTCGCTGTTTTCTCTTCCAATTTGGTGTGAAATGATGATTATGATAGAGATGATTTCGGTGAGAATTGTCTATTATGAAACGTTTTTTACAAAAATTGAGGATGTTCTAGTATGAAGAGATTGAGAGTTGCTAACCATAGTAAAATGGACCGTATTAGATCATCCAATTAAAAAATATGCTGCACCACACGAACTTTGTGATTTTAATTCGATCAACTGCTTACTAATTGTTTATTATAGCCGGTAGTCGATCCTGACTCAGATTCTGAATTTGATGATGATTCCCACCCTCTGTTATCTGGCGAAAAAGCTGTTTCGTATGAGAAGCAAAGTCAATCCGGTGTGCATCATGCATTTATTAGAAGATGTCCTGCACTTCCAATAATGGATACGTCGTAAGTGTTGGAGTGAAAAGTTTCTCCACTATAACTTTTTATCTTTAATACTCTGTCGTACGCTAACCAAAATCTATTTTTTTGGAAGGTATCCAGAAAGTAACGAAGTTTGTGGTTTCATGCTTTCAAATATGCTTTCAATTTCTTCTAAATTTTTAAATATGTTTTTATTTTTGAAAACAATTTCTGAAAGTAAGTTAGTGAGGAGATTTGCAGAGAAATCCTTTCAGACCTTTCAATGAACTTAGCCTGAATAGTACGGCGACAATATCGATAGATAGTGCAATCGGTTCACCTTTATGGTCAGCTGGAGCAACACCGGCATTGTTGGAATTAGATGCCAATGAGAAAGGCGATTCACCGACTTCCTATAAGAAACACCGACTAAGTAATGGACCATACTTAGAAGCTGAAAAAAAGAATGAGGTCACAGGCGAAGAAAATGACACAGATGTTACTTGTAACAGTGGTTTACTGAGTCCGCAGTATGTAAATGTTGAGAGTGCACAGCCAGCTTCTGTTGAAAGGGGTAAATTATTTAACTTACTCTCCTTCTTATCACTCTCGGTCTAATAGTGTTGTTCGAGGTTGAACTTATTTCGACAAGTAAAATGGATAATTGAGTTGACTTATTATATATATATATATATATATATAGTTTTACTTCCCTTTTAATCCATGTCATTTAATGTAAGGATTTACCCGTTATTTAGGTAAATTACAAGGCACGAAATTTCCTTTTCCACCACTAAGGCATACTCGTTTTTCCGATTCAACGGCTTATGAAACCAATCCAGTTCATATGGACAATTTGAGAAAGCCAGCATTTGAAGGATCCCTATCAGCGTTCACTGTTAATCAAGCAAATATGTTAGTTCGTCGTTGCTTGAAAATTAGAAGTTTTGTTAAAAATCTTTTACTTATATATTTCGATCCCACTTTGATGTTTGTGGTTTTTAGCTGTCGTTTGAAAAACCGACAGTATGAAACGGAAGAATATTTTTTGCAAGCTTTTTTTGTTATTCTTATAGCAAAATAGACTTTGATTTTCAACTTATAAAGAATTAAGTAATCTCTATATATTTGTGCAGAAGGATTTTTACCTCATGTTTCTAAAGTATCTAAAAATTTTTAGTTTACTAACAGAGGTGAGTAAGGAAAACCCGACTGAATCCTCAATATCGAAGTCAAACAACAATAACCAGCAGCGAAGATTTTCGATCGAATCAAGTTCAAGTGGGCGAGGTGGTTCCTCAGGGATGTCTAGCGCAGAAGGTCTGGGTGGTGTTGCCGAATTCTGTCAAATTGAATGCAGTGGAGGAAAAGCAAAACTTTATGAATTGTATTCGCAGCAACAACAACCAGAAAGGAAAATTCCGTTGTCTATTTTAGAAGTTGACAAAAATTCGTGACTCAAATGATTTGCGAAGAGCGCTGGTTTAGAAATTCTTACTGTTCCTGGAATGATGTTAATGTGCACATTCACCTCACTTCGTTTTTGTTGTACAGTATTATGCCAGTTCCTCTGACAGATCTATTCACTTATTTGTAATCTTAGTGTTTCTTGTCGATGGAACTATACTACTGGATGGTTTCTTGTCTCCTAATAGCATCGTTTCCAAGAATTTCTTTTCTTCGAGCTAACATTGATTTGAAAATTTTGCAATAGTATTAGGCCACTGCTTCATTTTCACTCATCGTCTTAATGAAGTTTAACAGGTGAATTATTACTTACTCTTATGAATTATATAATTCTCCGCGTAACTGTTTTCTATATTGTAATATTTTACCACTTATTTATTATGGATATGTGTTCTCACTGCATATTTCTGCCCTTTCTTATAGCGATACTCAAATCGGTTACTGATTGATTGATAAAATAGAGGAGGAAATAAAGTATATTTCTTTTGTTAGATGTATCTATATTTTCCATATTAACGTCAAATTTATTTATTTACTTTTAATTAGATACCGCTAGTGAAATGTATAATTTTTATGGTTATTAGGGGTAGAAATTAAGCAAAAAACTCGTAGATGAAAAGGTAGAACTTGTCGACAATAATTTTTCAAAAGTAGTGAAATCAGCTCTAATTTAATTCCTTTAAGTTTTCATTTTCTACTTTTTTTATTTGAAATCTCTCACTTTCAAGCACTGTTTTCGGTAAAATTTTCTGTTATTTTGTAAGTGTTAAAAGTTTAGAGTAAATTTCTGACGATATCGTTGCTAATTCTATTTTCAGTCAAAATGCAGTCGGGACTTTGCCGGAAATAGTAAAAGAGCTAGCTGTTAATGATGCGTATAAGAAAGAGGAGAGAAGAGCGCGAACATAATAATATGTAATTATTCACGAATGCCAACAGCTTTAAGATTTTGATTAACAATATGTGAGACTGCCGAACTGAACATTAAATCAATATTTTTCGTATCGGTTGCTGTTGTTACAAACGCGAAGTATTTTTGTTTGTTTGATATACATCTCTGGAACTGGTTTTCCAAATATTTCGTACAGTCTTCTACTGAGTTATCACCTACAAAAGCATTATTTAAATTTAAATAAACAATATGGGCATAGGTTGTTCACGATTACTTGACCGCTTTACCCTTTCTTACTTTCTTTCATCATACCAATAAAATTTAACTGGTAGTTGTATTACCGTAATATCTTTTCTCGAACGATTACGATAATGCTTTTTAAGATTTAACAGTTTAGTACGTTAGAAACTTGCTAATTAGTTAGGGGAAAAAAATTTATGAAAGCACTTGAAGAACTCAGGAATTGCAATTTTTATTTCCGTCCCTTAAATTAATTCATCGCAGTTCGTGTCTGCTAACATCATTAGACTTTATAGAAGAGTTTGATTCCCTGGAGCTTATATATATATTCTGGTCATTTTCCCACAAACAAAAAAGAAAAATAACCCACCACCGTATTCTGGCCAGCATTTTTTCAACGAAGAGTATCTGATCTTTTCCTGGAAGATATCATACTTGTTCAAAAACAAAACAATGGACGAATTCTTGAAATGGTCGCTTTGCGCAATCGTTTTAAAGATTCGATAACTTTGTATCATGCGATTCTATATTTAAAAAATAAAATTAGCCTTTTACTTTAATTAGAAATAGGCTAAGCATACTTCAGTATACATATTCACGTTTTAGCTCAACATGAGCAATGGATAAGATCAATTATAACTAATCTAGTTAAAACTTCTATCTGAAATGATTTATGCGGTAAGTCTGGGGATTTTTCACCAATTTTCAATCCATAAAATGTACAATCTTCAAATAATTTGATATCGTTATGCAAAAGGGACAATTAAACGCTATCAGTGTCAATCATATTTTCAGGAAACAGTAGGCAAATCAAATAAGCACTAATAATGATGAATTTAAGGAAATAATCTGATGATTGCAATCTCAGTTCTTTTAAGCTTTTTCTATCAGATGATTTACTACGTGAAGCTGATAAATAAGCGTCCGTTGCTTGCCTGACTTTCATCTTCAGGGTCAGCTTGGTCAAATTCACTCATTGCCACAACAAATAGTACCATATTCACGTCATCGAAGCAGTGAATCCATTTGCGTCTTTCCGAACGCTGTCCACCAACATCAATCATTCTAAAAAAATGCATATGTGAAATAGTTAGTAAATAATGGCATATAGTAAATAAAATAAATTTGTATTAAGTAGAAGGATGAGATCATCATCAATAGAGATGATTAAATGTAAGAGGTGTAAAAAAATTCTTCTATTTTAAGGGAGAGTAGATGAACAAGATCCATACTTGAAATCGACTTTCTTATATATAAAATTGATTTCATGTATACCCATTGTTTTGAAACGACATTGTAAGATATCCTGTGTTGTTGGAGAATAATCAGGTGATGTAATTCTTCCAAGACTATTCAGGAAGCTACAATATTATTACTCACTCGTCTGCAATGCTGAGAAATTTTGAAGAGAATAAGCCATTATAGTATAAATTTTTGCATATTGTGCAATAGTTGGAGAAAAATTGCGACAAACAATTTGGCATTATCGAGTAATTGATAATTGAAACGTCTTTCGTAAACAAGTTGTATGCTATTGCTCTGCCAAATTTGTTGAATGATTTTAGCCATTTCATTCGATATTACAATTTGAGCATCTCCCAAATCCGAATCGACATCTTCATAAAATTTCATAAATATGTTTACTTTCTCCTGAAATTGTTAGGTTCCATTATATATTCATCGTGAGTTAAAAAACAGATAGGACTATATTTACTTCACTAAGTCCACAAATCTGAACTCTCTTCATCCAAATGACATTCGTGAAGGTAACAATGTATAAGACCTGTATGACATGTTCATGCACGATCCGATATGTTTCACATGCTCGAAGCATTTTTGCCACTGAATCAACGACATTCCGTAAAATTGACTGCCGATAACGACTTTTGTCCTCCTCGGTGAAACCATTAAGATGCAGTATCCTGTACTAGCTCTAATTATCATGAAAATCTTCTTTATTATTCACTTTGTTTATTTTAAGTGTATGCCTTTTTGAAAATAAGAATTTCCACATAATTGATGCATTCGTTTTCTTTAGGAAACAAAAATTTCGGTGAAATATAAAATGAAGCAAGTAATGAACCTCATTTGCTTAAATATCGTCGTTTTGCCGCATTCTGAGCCGCCTGAATTTTAATCATTACTGACCAATCAAAGTTAGTTTAATTGCTGGAATTTAAGTCCATTTAAACAGAAAAAAGCGAAAGAACGTCATTTTTCATTTTCCACTTTTGTTGTTGCAATGTATTTCGAGAAGCCATTTTTTTTATTGTTTTGAATCAATGAGCAACTTAACTCGAATAGTGCTTTAAACTGCTTCTGTTTGAGATTAAATTACGACTGTAAAAGAATTCGACATGAAGACAAGATCCCTAGAGAAGAAAAATTGATGCAAAAATGACTGTTGTCCTCTTGTTTCAAAACTTCCCTAGTAATAAGATTTTAAATATATTTGTGTTTTCCAGTTTTTCCTTTTGCAGTTGTTTGTCAATTTGTTTCGAAGTGGCTTTTTCTGATACTGTCTTTGTTACTGCAGCTGTTGAAAGTACTCTTCCTGTAGCGGAAGCGGTTATTTGATGATGATTGCTTACTATATTGCCCATCTTGGCTGCTGCTGTAAATGAAATTTATCAGCTATAATTAGCGATAGACAATTATTCGATTTAATTTATCTTTTAATAAACTCAACAGCATCATGCAAAAAGCGCAGTAAATGAAGGAGGGGCAAGGATCAAAAAGGGAAAGTGCTTTGCAAATTTAATAAGAGTGCTATTTAATCAAAAAAAAAAAAAAAAAAAAAAAAGATCAAGTTATGAATACCTTTTTAGATTACCATCCAGTTGATTCAGAATTCAAAAATTCAAAGTAATTTTTAAATTTCATGCAATTGTTAGTACGCTGAAAACAATTTTCATAATGAAGCAAAAAATTATAGCTAATTAGTTAATTTGCTTTATATATCAGAAAAATGCACTTGCTAGATTAATTCTCCGAATAAAAAGTTTATAGTTTAGTTATAAATCTCTGTAATATCCAACTTTAATATGAAGTCCTAAAACATGAATGATTAATTTAGGAAAAATTTTTGAAGAAATTTAAAATAAAGCCAGATGCTATCATTGAAAAATAAACAGCAACTAGAAAATGCCAAACCCACTTCTATTATGCAGAAATGTATCAAATATGTAGAAATATAATGAAATAGATATGCAATTACACCTCGCTTCAGTTGCTAAGGAAGGCGCTGAGAAAATAAATCAGGTGAATAACGATTTATAACACCTTATAGAGAAATATTGTTGACTAATAAAACATACGACGCTCACTAATTAAAATTATAATCAATGAAACTTTTCCTTTATAAATAATTAAAACGTGAAAGAAGTAGCACGTGCCATATTGTGTTGATTTCTAGCATGTAGATGATTTTTAGAAAATTAAGACATTATTTTCATATATGGTAATATTCATGCATTCAATGCAATCCTTCTTTGTATTCAGATCTTTTTCGATTTTGATCATTTTTAAATAAACAACTCTTTGTTTCATTTTTCCCTGTAGCATTTCATTTGTATTTCATTTCTACTAGTACTAGTAATATCTACGGTGATGCCTTGTGAAGGAGAAATATGGTACTACTTATTCCTGGAAAATGTTGAAGAATGGATAGACTGATTATCTGCTTGGATCAGTGAAGCATGAAGATTAAAGAAATTCTAAGAATCTGTTAATGAAAGACTGAAGACTGCAGACTTTATTGTGAAATAAAAATGGCAAGAAGTTTACAACTTGTAATAAGTGACAAGATAATAACGTTAAATTTCACGTTCCAGTTCATCGATATATGGCTTTACAGCAGTTCCTTGAACCCAATTTTCGGGATGAAAGCGGTAACGTGGACGACCTTTCTTATCAACCAAGAATTTTTCAAAATTCCAAATAACATCATTTGTACCTATGGGATCGTATATTAACTGATGACGCTTTCCAATTACTGGCACTGTCGGCGGGCAACGTTCCTATAAAAGAGTTCTTTTCAATGATAATCAGTAGGCTCATGAAACCTTCAGCTTTTAGCAGACGATTCTTCTTATTGTAAAAAATACATTTGTTTTGATATATCTGGAAAAAAATTTTTTTAAGCATTAAAACAGATTAAAGTATAAGCGGAATTAATTTCTAAAATCTTAAAAAGGAAATCCAATGCGAAAAAGGTATGAAAAGTAAAACTAACGCACTGCTTTTTTGGCAATAAAATGAATAGAAAATATTAAATAAAGAAGTTCTCCAGAAAAATCATACAACAAGACCTTCAAAAATTTGTAAAGCGGATGATCATTTTCACCATTAACTTCAAGTTTGCCAAAAATGTGCATGTTTTTGTGTGGTTCCCAGCCATGTCCTGGTCTTACATATTTCAAACCACTCAACAACTCGTGATTTTCTGCTGGTTCTTGCAAGTAAAACTGATTGCATGGAAATCCTAGGATATTGAGCGTTCCATTAGAATTACTTTCAAGTATTGGATTGAAATCTCTGTATTGCATTGTGTATGCTGAAAATTTGTCATTCATTGGATGTAGAAATCAATAAGTTGAAAGGAACCATATGTGTCTTTTAGGGTTAAAATATTTTAAACTTAAATATGGAAAGGAAGAAGTCAAGGCAGGCAAAATAAAAGTTTTGGACATATGTTACAATTAGTCAGCCTTGCCTTCTCTCTTATCCCTTTGAAAAAATAATCATTTTGTCACAACTTCAATGACATATTTAATCTTGTTAACTTTCGATAAGAACAACAGCAAAAATGCTTTCTGGAAAAAAAAAAAAACTGAACATTGCTACAAATAAAAATGACTTATTTGAAGCACAATTAATATTTTATAAGAGAAGCGCTTACCGCAGTAAGTAGCGACATTAACGATTAAAAGAACTTTGTTGCGATATTCTGCCAAACTTTTTTGTGCACCGTTTAGCATTTGAACTTGAAAATCATACACTGTTTGATTCGTTATTTCACATTGCTTCGGTTTTAAGAACTGTTTGCCAATTTTTGGGCCTGCAGAAATGAAGTTGAAATCTTTTTTTCTTCTCATACTCCCTGAATAAAATATCAAGTAATTTTTGCTTGACAGATCAAAAATAAAATCACCGGCTTTTTGGAAATGATTTTTTAATAAAAATAGGTTTTTATTTAATTTGAAGACTTTTCATAATTGACTAAGTTATTATACCTTTCCGTACCTAAGCATAATCCATTTTGTACAAAGTAATTCTTTCAAGTTTTGTGTATTTCATTTACCAAAATTTCTTACCTAGTTGTGCAACAATAAGTTGCAATAACACCATGTGTGATAAAATCAAAAGTTGTGCAGACATTTTGATAAAATTTTTTTGATAGTAGAACTGAAAATGTTATAATGTAACACTTATTATACATTATTCTTGCTTGACAGTTTAGGTCATCAACTTCAAATTAAACAACGAAACATTAAATTTGACAACAAATTTTCTATTCAATTAAAAGTAGAAAGTATTTAATAAAAATGTTGAACAAAATGAGGAAACATTCGGAAAAAAATAGTGGAGAAATATTTGTGAGATTGTATGTAACAAAATTAGGCTTTTAAAAATGTATTATTCCAGGTTCTTGATTATAAGAATTATTTCAGCTTTGTTGTTGACATCGATTACTTCTGCTGCTGATATCGACTGCCGATATACTTGTACAATTTTTATATGAAATGAAAAAGTACAGAAAAATTTTTTATTATTTGTGAGAATGGTTAAAAACTTGCTCAGGTTGGTTTTATTTCATTTCTTGTTTGTGCCAATTGTATTTATGAGGTTGAAAAAAAAGACTAAAAATCATTATTGAAAACGTGATTGAAAATTCAAAATAAATCGCATGATTTTAAGTCACTTCTTGTTTTCAGCTGCTATGCAATATAAATTTCAATCCATTCATAATGTTTCTTTTATCTGCTTCATTTATAATTTATTAAAACAAAAGTGCCGTTCAGCAATTTAAAATTTAAAGGGCAACATATCGGAGAGGAGCATCATCACTTATCTAAAACTGTAGGAGTAAATAATAAAAACAAAAAAGACTGCTGTGCAATTAGACGAGATATTTCATGAACACAGAGTTTTGAAGCATATTTCATTTATCATTAGGGAAACAGCACGTGACAACAGATGCACTGACAATGAATTTAAATCACATTTTCAGAATAAAGACAGTAAGTCGAAACTAAATATGAAAATAATCAAAAATCGGAAGAATTATGGGAAAATCGAGGGATGCAACTGACCCAGATGAACAAAAATATACTCACCTATAGCGAGTAATCAGTATTCCTAATGGCCATTAATTAATTAATATAAAATAAAGTCTTGTCTCGAAACAGAAATTTTGATTTCAATATTTCTAGTTGTTTTACTCAGAATTTTTGGTAGATCCAGTAGTTTCGTAAAATATAAATCTGGATGGCATGGTGGTCCTCACTAATACAAGAGTTACCAACTTCTACCCAGGTCTCTTTTAGAGTCCAGATCTTTTTTAAAAACCAGATTAATTCACACTCTCGGAGCTTCGGTGCAGTTTTAAAAATGAGAAAGTAGGATTCGGTGTGATGCTATTAAAGAGTACAAATCACCACATTTTATTTATCATCACAGTTATTACAATCATAATTGAGATTAAATAGTGAAAATAAATCTTGAAATTATGTGAAGGAAAGAGAAAAATAAAAGACCCGTAATATAATTCATCATATTAAAATTGTTGTCAGTTTACACTTGCATATCTGCTTTTCATTGCTGAAAGTTGGTTTTAGTAACAGATGCTGATTCACTAGAACTTGTTACTATCAAATTTATTGTGTTTGGCAAAAAGATTATGCAGTATGCTATCCACCTTATTGAAGAATAAGGTGGTATTGAATTATGTAGATTAGAAGAAACCTCAAAAGTTTTCTCAGAAATTGGTAGAAGCTTATATTTCATGAATGAGCTGAATAAGATGACTTGAACTAACTATAGACTCCAATGTTCACTTGAATATTTTCTGCGGAAATATATTTCCGTATCTATTATTTATGAAAACAATAATTGTATGTGGTAATACTGATAAACTAAGATCTTCATATGCGCAGTGCAGGAAAGCAGATTAATTGGTAACAGACTGCTGGTTAAAGTGAAATAACAATTTATGACATCGAAAACTTCTAATTGATGAGGAAGCAAATGCAGCAATTGTTGAACAATTAACTGGGTAAATGGCAGTATAAAGATAGGGAATATGGTACACCTCAATCTTATTCAATTTCCTCAAACGGGAACATCTCATTAGTGAACAGAACATATTTACAAAAGAGGAATTTGGAGACTGAATGGATTGAAAAATCTGAGAAATACTTAAGTATAACCACTTCTCAGACCACATATTTTTTTTTAATGTTTCAAAAAAAAATTTTAAACGCATTCGACTGGTTCTTCATCAAAAGACATTTTATAACGAATGTCATCTCACTGATAAGATCATTTTTACAATTTCAAAAGAAGGCTGTATAAAAAAATTCTGCCTTTACATGCTCGGGCAAAAAACATCAGATAGCATTAGCAACTAAAACTGGCTTTTCAATTCTCCCCATGAACATAAGGCATACAATTCGCACCAGCAATTGCAATAAACCTTGTCGATATAATAATATAACGCTTATTATCACCTTACCTCATTTTTTTTCTTCAAAAATGATCTTAAATACAAGTGTTAAAAATACAGCTGTAGAAACAAGGAAATGTGCACTTCATTTCTCGAAATTTAAAACATCTTCTGCGATATCATTTGGGACATGACAAAAAATGACAAAAGAGAGAGAAGAAAAGGGAGGATAATAGTTTAGGTAGTAATAATAGCTCCAGGTAACTGCAGCAATAGTAACAGCAGCAACAGTAATGCTAGCAGTAGCAGTAGTATAATAATAATACTAATAGTAAATTTGGAAGTCAATTATTAGTATGCAGCATTGAATAGAAGTTAACAGTAATAACAATAATTACTGAAGTGTGAAGTATATTATTCAATCGCGTCTTATTTTTTTTTGCGTCTCTTTTCTGCATGTGCTTTTAGAAATGAGATAAACAACAATGTATTGCAATAATAGTAGTAATTTTCTGATGCGTGTCGCTCAAACGAAAGTGAAATAACCATCCGACTTTCGGCGTTTTTTGCTTCGTGTTGGATTTGAACCATCGAAAGGTGGTTTATTCCTTAAGCAATAGCTCCATCGAATAATATTCATTTTCTTATCACACTGACAAAACTTCATGCCAAAATTTAATTACCATCAAGGAAATTAATGCTGAAGAATTTTCGCAAACGAGTTGAAAGTTTAAATTTCAAAACAATACAATTGAACACTGTAAAAATCTTTCTGATACGACAATCACTTATTTAATACAAAGTTATTTTGTTTTGATGTTCAGAATAAGTGAAAAAACTGAAAGTTTATGTTCAAATAACACATACAAAAATCACGCTTGTGAAGAAATGAAGAGAAAAGGAATGATTATTAATACAGCATTAATTTCATGTGAAGTGAGAGTTGTTCTGACAGTAATAAATCATTAAATTTCTACTTTAACTCACCTGGTTTGTCCCAGTAGCCATGTTTTAAAATTTGCATCCAGTTTACTCGGACTTTGTGTGACACCACCTTCAAACATCTCAATAGGACTCTTTCGCACCCTACAGAACAAAATTTTTTTTTTAAATTTAAAACAAATCAGCGAAGTAATTTTTGAGAAATTCATGACACAAGTAAATGCGTTTTTTCAATACCAAAACAGATCTACAAGCCACCATAAGGAAAACAGTATCAAAATATAACCTGTCATTGAAATTATGCCATAAAGCGACGATCAGTTCAGTTGCCATAATATCGCCAGCATGTGCACTTATCATCCTCATGCAAAACACACCGTCATATCCAAGAAATTTATGAACAAATTTTTTGACAGATTGCCGATCAGTTGCCAGATCAGTTGCTTTTAAATATTTCCGGATAAATTTCATGTGCTAAAAAAACTTGGTTTTGTCTCGTTAATTTCCGCTTAAGTTAGAAAAGAACTCCATCCTTCGGCATAATTATTAGTAGTTGTTTTTACTGCCTTCGACTGACAATTTTTCTTAAAATAATTTGCTGAAGCGAAATAACAGGTAATTTAGTATGAGTGAAATTATTTTGCTTAGAATGAAGCTGGCAGGTACAGTGACATTCAAGTCTGTGCTTCTGTTAATTCAGTAACGTTTCAAAGATGTGAAAATGTTGCACATAACACTAAAAAAACTAGAAATAAAAAGCAAAATTTACTTGGCCTGGCAGAAACGACATGAGCATCCAGTGACCCACGGAAAACATACTTACTATTGATACCATAAAGTACCAAAACCATAGAAATAAAAATATTTTCTCATTGAACATATTTATCATTAGCACACATTGTACAGTATGATGATGAACATTACCAAGAACTCGTACCTGAAATTTATCAAACATTTTCATCGTTTAAATGACTACAATGTTAGCAATATATCCTTAAGAGTTAAAGTTTGAGTGGAAGTACATTTTCTTGAACATTACAGAAAATTCGGACTCCTCTAAAAATCACTGTTTGTGGAAATTAGATCAACAGAACATACCTCAAAATCACACATAGTAACGCGGGGAAAATTACCGCTTACTTCCCATTCACGACCGTTGAGCAGATCTTTGAGTATGTGGAAACCATAAAAGATATTGTCGGTACCGAGAAAAGTGTTTAATAAAAATATCTGCCCAACGACATTGATTAAATATAACGTTTTGATAAATACGTACAGGCAAGTCACATATGAACCCCACCTTTTACTGACGCACATTCCGGATACATCGGTTACCTGAAATACTTTAACAGCAAGCGTTCTGTAATTATTCTTTTACTGCTTGGTAAACTCAATTATTAGTCAGAGATTGATTGCATTAACTACATTTTCATTTCAAACTTTTATTTACTGCAATCGTTCATCCATACCTCCCTTTGTATTTCCAAGGCATCTTCCATATGTCCAGCAATAGTTTGCACTGTAGCTGCTCTTGCATCTGCATCCATCATTCTTGCATCGCAAGCCATTTGTGTTAGGCTTTGCACATTAATCCCTGAATTCTGCTATCATTAAATTTCACCAACCCACAAAGATGACAAAGTCTTGAAACAAGTGTTTCATTTGAGTAGGACTTGATAGAGCTGATTGAGATATAATCGATCTCTAGTTATCATCAACAGTAGTGCCCCCTATATTTGAATCAATCAGAACTTCATCAGTGCTTAACTCA